GCCCAGCCTAAGAAACCCTTCACCTCACAATTGGTTCTGACTTCCGACCCAAGTTTTTCCAGCAAAGCCTTGCCGGGAGTCAGCAGCTCGCCTAGGCCACATCCAGCAAAACCCATCTCCATCGATGACCGCCCCACCAAGCGCCGAAAAAACCGCACAAGTGCAGTCGCAGACACTTCCTGGCAAAATTGAATATCTAAGAAAACACCAGGAACTGCGGACACGGCATTGAAAATCGCGTCAGATTTTCCGTACGTGGCGGTGCAGAAGGAGGCTACATTCTGAAGAACCGCGAAACCATCATCCCAAAATAGAAACAAACAATGTGCCACTCCGAACGAGGCGAGTAAAACATTTTCAATTGAAACATGGTCCTCGACAGGCACGTTCAGAATGGCATGAGACAAAAAACCCCAGAAATGGGCAATGTAGGCTTCAGAAACACCCAGATTGCGCAAGAAATCAGCGCCCGATTGATTGTCCTCAGCTGCTACGTGGTTTGGCCTGGCCATGTGGAAAACTCATTTGTATCATGCCGAAGCACATCATCATACAACATATCATCATGATCATCTTGCGATAATACTTTGCAGTTGTTCACCAAGTAGGGATGCGCATGGATGCACGTTGTTCTGAGTTACAAGTTGTAGGCCGGGCCCAGACTCAGCGCCAGGAGGCGGCTTCACCGCTGCCTCCTGGCAGTCATTTTGGTTTGTGTGAAGCTCATGCTTTTGTATTCATGGGTCTTTTCTGGTGGTTTTGGCCATGCCTGATTGTCAATCAGGAAGTGGCACAATGGATGGGCGGTGAGGTTGCCCATGTGTTTTACAGAACACCTCGGATTTCTTTTGGGGTTCAAAATTCAAAACCTTGTTGTTGTGTTTTCTCCGATCGAAATCTTGTTTTTGTTTCTGGTAAAATGTAGAACCAATAAACCAAATCGACGAGCATGGAAAACATTTCACAACCATCAGTGAATGATTTATGTTTTTTCATGCCGTGTCAACGATATGGAATTTGCATATATTTGCATTCTCTCCGGGGCTGCCTTTGCTCACGGTGGAAAGCAATTCTTTGACGGTAGATCTATATAAATCATGCTGGCTCGCAATCCACCCACGTTTTCTGTATGCGGGAACAGTTTTTGGCCCTATGCGCTCGGGGAGCTCACAACACCAAGCGAATGGTTTCCTCCACACAAGCAAATAATTTGGAGGATTTGGTGTCTTAATTTCTTTCAACCAAGATTTTCCTTAGTCAGTGGGCATTTGCCATTCTTTCTTGGAACTCGCTCAACCTTGGAGCTGGAAACTGGAACAAAGGTTTGGAATTAATTAAGCAAAGTCAAAAAGGCTCAAGTGGTCTATTTCTGTACTAAATCAAAAATGAAATTACTTTACGTTGACCGTGACAAATTATTTTGTCATAGTTTCCGATCTCATCTGTAATATACGGTATATATTTTCTGACATTCTATTCTGTCATTCTATCTGGGATTCTATTCTGACATTCTATCTGGCATCTATTCTGACGTCCTGTCTGGCATCCTTTAAGGCATCTATTCTGACATTTTCGCTGGCATTCTTTCTGAGATTCTATCTGGCATGTGTTCAGGCATTCTTTCTTGCATCTTTTCTGGCATTCTATCTGCCGTCCTATTCTGACAGCCTATTCTGGCATTCTATCTGGCATCTATTCTGACATTCTCTCCGGCACGGGCACTGCCGGGCCTCAAACGCGAGCGCCAGATCTCAGTGGCCCGGCAGTTGAGGTCGGGCAGCGACTGACCTCGGGAGCTCGCGGTTAAGTTCAATCTCGGCTGAGCTCCGGAGCTTGCAGTTGCCAGAGGAGGAGGAAAAGAAGGAGAAGGAAGCAACTCTGACAAAATCTAGCGACCCTCACGTGGCAGGATATCAAAAATCGATCGTGCAAAGGGGGCAATGCTGAAGCCACTGAAACACTTTACTTTTGCCCGCCTAAATAAAATATTCTGGCGTCGGCATGCCCAAAATGAACTTCTGTATCCGTTTTCAACTAGGCAATCTGTTCGGCAGTACTAAACGCATTGGGTCGCAATTGGGATTTTTGGTCGGCAATGCCAAGTGAAAGCAAGTTGAACTCATGTATTTGATTTCAAGTGGGCAATCTGCGCGGCAATGCTGCATGAAGCAAGTTGAACTTACATTCATTGTTTGGCGATACTAAATGACAGCAAATTGAGCTTATCTTTTTGTTTTCAACTGGGCAACTTGCCAGACACGTATGAGATCGTCTTCCATTTTGTAGTAATACTAAATCCACCAACAGTTTGGTGCTGGCACCTCAAAGAGTCACAGAAGGTGGGTCGGGAGACGTCGGGAGGCTGAACATGGATGACTTGAGTATTGTTGGGGCGGCAATCCAAACCATGTTTTGTTTCTGGTACCTCACTCAAAGACAAAACTTCCTAGCCAGAATGTTGTGCTGAAAGCCTCTGCTGGCAAGAAAAAAGTGCCACGGCATGTCAGGATCATATTCACGGAGGCTGGTTTGATGATTCCTGGCGCCAATGTGTTATTGTTTTTCCCCCTAACCAATCCTTACAGAGGAATTTCCGGGCAAGTATCCCGTGGCAAGCCCAAGTTAGTTTGACGCAATGTGACTGAACCGCCAAATGCTGTCAAGCTTCAATACACGCAAACACGTCAGTGACAACGCTGCCAGCTTCCCAGATCGGCCCGCGATTAAGCAAAAACTTGGGTGAAATGCGAGCCCAGGTAACTTAAATCTACTGTCAAGAGTTGCTTTCCACCTTGGGCAAAGGCAGCCCCGCAGAGAATGCAAATTCCATATCGTTGACATGGCACGAAAAAACATAAATCACGCACTGATGGTTGTGAAATGTTTTCCATGCTCGTCGATTTGGTTTATTGGTTCTACATTTTACCAGAAACAAAAACAAGATTTCGATCGGAGAAAACACAACAACAAGGTTTTGAATTTTGAACACCAAAAGAAATCCGAGGCGTTCTGTAAAATACATGGGCAACCTCACCGCCCATCCATTGTGCCACTTCCTGATTGACAATCACGCATGGCCAAAACCACCAGAAAAGACTCATGAATACAAAAGCATGAGCTTCACACAAACCAAAAATGACTGCCAGGAGGCGCGCTGAAGCCCCCTCCTGGCGCTGTGTCTGGGCCCGCCATTAAGTTGTGGTAGTTGATGAATGCCTCTACCCTGGCTGTGGCAGGCCTTGAATTACCCCGGCAAGAGGCCCCAAACAGATCCAAACAGCGCAGGGGGGATGGGAATTCTATGTTTCAAATATAAGCGGCAATAGCTATGGAACAAATATAGGATGCGTGTCAGGCGCAGCGGCTTTATTGGCCGCGGTACTTTGGCGTATAAGACCTTGGCTGCGATCATCACAAGCAATGGTGTACGAGACTGGTCGCACACAGTTGGTGCTTTGGATCAGGCGGTTGCGCGCTCAAGACAAAGGGCACTGCAGCAAGCAAGAAAGCCGATGCGAAGACATAAAAGAGGATGGCGCAAGATCATCAAAGGAAGGACATGGACAAGACGTCAAAGAGAATGGCTCAAGATCTAGAACGTCCCAGGAGCATGCCAGAAGAACTTCCACATATGCAGCACGAATGCAGAGCAGCTTCAAGATCTTAATGCATGGGCCTCTTAGGAAGAACCTGTTAGACAGTGCAAGATATGCAGGACAAGACAAGACAGACGAAACACGACAGTACAGGACGGAAATTTGTGAAAGACAAGCGAAAATGGAGATGGGGTGGACATGTAAAGCAGCAAGTAAGTCCATAAAGAAGAAGTTTCTGAAATGCACATGCCATGTAAAAGGACGAATGAAAAACAGGTTGCTGACATGTGTTGGTAAAGGAAAACAATGACAGAGACACGATGAAAGAACAGGAGGAAAATAGTTATAGTTATAGCGTTTTCGAAGACCACAGGAAAAGGATCAGCTGCGGCGTCCTTTTGTCCTTGCAGCGCGCGGGCATCAACCAACATGCGGTCGCGAAGCGGTTGCGCAACCACAGATCGCCCAAGTGGGCGAAGCGACAGGAAAGCCATCATGGCGCACAACCGCAGCCATTAGTGGCCGCGACGGCGCGCATGCCATGTAAAAGAAATAGCTTGTAACACAAAGAGCACCCTGGTGAGACATGGCGCACGCCGTGTATCTTGCAACCACAGCTCTGCGGCAGAAGCAACTTTGCGCGCCATTGTTAGGGTGGCGGTCGCAGCCCGGCAACGAGAACTGTGGAAGGACGTTAAAGTTGCCGCTCTGAACTGATCAATGGCGTCATGTCTTTCCGTTGCGCCGGGCCCAGATGTCCCAGGCCCCGTCGGTTCATTGGAAGCCAGCGCATCACGAGAACGAAGGAGCAAGGAGCTTCGTTGAACCAAGCCCAAGGAAGAAACAGCTGCTATGGGAGGAGGAGGACCTGCATCCACTCGCCATTCAATTGTCAGCGCAGACGAAGCCTCTGCCCCTACTCTGTCCACGGCAGTGCAGAAGCCCAACTGGGACGGATCGCCTGTCCGGTCACAGCGGGGCACGGCAGCCCAAGGGATCAGCGACGTCTGCAAAAAGATCAAGAAGGCTTTGTGGGAGCCTGCGCAATCGAAATGCGCTTGGACAGTGCGCGAGAAGCATTTTATGCGAAAAATTACAAGTAAAATGCCGCAGGCCAAGACCGGGGACCACACTTTGTGCGAGCCTGCGCAGTCGAGATGAACGTCGACATTAATTGCACAAGAAGCATTTTATGCGAATTTACCAATAAAATGCCGCGGGCCAAGACCGGGGACCACACTTTGTGCGAGCCTGCGCAGTCGAAATGTACTTGGACATTGCACAAGAAGCATTTTTATGCGAAAATTCAAGGTAAAATGCCATGGACCAGCTGGAAAACCCTGATCAAACACCGGCCTTTGCACTTACCGCAAGAATCCCTCAGCGTGGACACACTGTTTGGGGATGTTTGGGGAAAAAAAGATATTCTTTAGAGAGCGCTTGTTAGTCACTTTTAATCCGAGACGGTGAACATTACCACCAAAAATCGCCAAATATCAGAAAATAACCGACGACACTCCCACAGCAACATCCCCAACGAACTTCGTCGCAGAGAGTCTAGCTCCATCACTTGTTCTTCCGATAGGCTCAAACAATGCACAGCAGCTGGCACTGTGGAATGCTTGTCTGCCCATGATACGAATGGATCTGAAATGGATGCAGGTCCCCACGAGGCAGGTGCTGGCAAAGCCAAGGTCCGAATGTGATGTTCTTGCCGTCCTCTAACCCAAGTCACAAAGTGGCGCCATGGTTGCCAAACTATCCTTGGGCGGTGGCTCAGGCCGGCTACGTGCTGTTTTAAGTTGCTCTGAATAGGATCAATCAGGACCACCCAAATCCAATTAATGATGCATCTTTCATCTTGGGTGAATTTCATGCTCTTTCCCAAATCCCAACACGAAAACATAGAAAACCATGGGGCGAAAACGTCGACACCAAACAGTCCAGTTTCTTTTGCAAGGTGCCAAGCTCATCCAACAGTTTGAAGAAATTTGGATACTCTGAGACCACCACATGGGGTCCAATATGCACCGGATCACGCGTCACTCCATCGATCCAGCTACGTGCTCGACCACCAAGGATGGAACGACTTTCCAAGACTCTGACTTTCAAGCCACTTTTGGCCAAAGTGACCTCATCGCGCCAAGGCTGACCACTTCCTCAACACCTACTCAACACCTTCAATTGCACCTACTCAGCCACGTCTGGATCGTTGAGCATCTCAATCTGCTGCAAAAACAACAGCAGTTACTTCAGTAGCTAGTAGCTATTTCAACTGTAAGACCTATAGCAGCTATACGCACACACACACATATATCACATCATCGACGTTGGGTTGCATCCCTTAGCAGAAGCCAAAACACTGCTGCTGCTAAACCAGCAACGCCACCACCAACCACCACCACGTCCACCGTATGTTTGTCTGCCATGGCAACTGAGTTGAAGGGCTCGAGGTAAGTTGCTTGGTCCGTTTGTGTGACCGAACAAGGAGACAAACCCCAGGTATTTGGCTAAGTAATTCTTTGACTTCACAGGGTGATGATGACCCCGCTGATGAAAATTATGGACCCAAAATGAAATGAGTCAAAACATCTCATGCTGGCGCTTGCCTTGTCCTGAAATCTTTTGTAACGTCTTCTCTGAAACATCGCATGCGTAACCTCACACTGAACATGGATGAACATGGGGTCAATAGGCATCACTGGGCCAATGGGGCCAACCTGTTTCCTTCAACCTCTTCTGCTTGTCGCGTGGCCCAGGTTGTTTTTGCTCACATTTGTGTCAGCGCAGGATCTCGGAACAACTGCTGTTCAATTCAGATGCGTCAGTGACTTCAATAATAATAGCTACCTACCTACCTGCTAGCTCCGTACCTATGTATATAATCTTATCCGATCCCGTCTAATCCCGTCCAATCTCTATCTATCTCTTTATCTGTCTATCTCTATCTATCTATCTCTATCTCTATCTATCTCTATCTCTCTCTATCTCTCTCTCTCTCTCTATGTCTCTCTATCTCTCTCTATCTCTATCTATCTCTATCTATCTCTATCTATATCTCTATCATTCTCTCTCTATCTCTATCTCTATCTCTCTCTATCTCTCTCTATCTCTCTCTATCTATCTCTATCTATCTCTATCTCTATCTATCTCTATCTCTCTCTATCTCTCTCTATCTCTCTCTATCTCTATCTATCTTTATCTCTATCTATCTTTATCTCTATCTCTATCTCTATCTCTATCTATCTCTATCTCTATCTATCTCTATCTATCTCTATCTCTCTCTATCTCTCTCTCTATCTCTCTCTATCTCTCTCTATCTCTATCTATCTCTATCTATATCTCTATCATTCTCTATCTATCTCTATCTCTCTCTATCTCTATCTCTATCCATCTTTATCTCTATCTATCTTTATCTCTATCTCTATCTCTATCTCTATCTATCCTGTCTATCCTATCTATCCTATCTATCCTATCTATCCTATCTATCCTATCTATCCTATCTATCCTATCTATCTATCCTATCTATCCTATCTATCTATCTATCTATCTATCCTATCTATCCTATCTATCCTATCTATCCTATCTATCCTATCTATCCTATCTATCCTATCTATCCTATCTATCCTATCCTATCCATCTATCCTATCTATCCTATCTATCCTATCCTATCCTATCCTATCCATCTATCTATCTATCTATCTATCCTATCTATCCTATCCTATCCTATCCTATCCATCCATCTATCATATATTCCTGTTCCTAAAGTTATTCCTATCATCGATTTCAATCTATTACTATTCCTCTCTCTCATTCTCTCATTCTCTCTCTCTCTCTCTCTCCCTCTCTGTTTCCATCGCCGTTTTCTATCTATTCCTATCTATTCTTGCTTATCTATCTGTGTCTGTCTATCTGCCTGCCTGTCTGTCTGATCTTGTTGTAGGTGAAGAACATGTAATTATGCATCTACATATGTACGCAAACTTCTCTTGTCTGAACGGCAATTGAATGGCACTTTTTCAATATACCCACTGCATCCCACTGCGCAATAGAGTTCAACGGAGGGTGTGGACTCCTCGGCGAAGGTTATATAATGTCACATGAGTCACATGTTTGTGGTTTATGAACAGTCAACCTAACGGACCAAACATAACAGCATTGTCCGTGTTACAATCGTTCCAATGTCATGATCTTGCACACATGCCACCCAACAAAAAAATCATTCCCAAGCACTGAACATTCTTCAACTAGCAGGCAAAGGAGGTCCCCTGCATCCCTTCTTCAACCACTAATGGGTTCTCAATCACCCTTTGAAAGGGTGTCGAGCTACAGGGCTAAACATCCTTAACCTCCGACTGTGGCACTTGGACCCCGCTTGACATTGCAGGCTACTCTGGGCACCCAGTCTCATAGTCTCAAAAGCCGAAACATCCTCGCTGGTTGATAGTGAACTTCTTCCCCAGCAGTGGGGAAGTTGTTCAGAAAAATCGAGACAAAATAACCATTTTGCTTTTTTAAATAAATTTGAAGTAATGTTCTCAAGAGGTAACGGAGATCCACCTGGCCCATGTCATCGGAGACATCTGACCTGTGCTGTGCAGCACAAAGCCCGGTTTCACCAAGCGCGTGAGTTTGTTTGTTTTTTAATATATATATATATTATAAATATACAGTATAATTATTAATTAAGAATCCTCCCTTTGTGTTGCCTAGGGACCTTTGGCCCGCTCATTATATAGGACAATTTGCTCTATAAAATGGAAAGCTAAGGTGTAAACGTAAACCCATATATTCTCTCTATGAAATGAGGTGCCAAGCAAAACCATCAAAACCACATACCTTCCTATATTATCCTATATTATGACCCAAGTTTTTTAGCAAAAGTTCCCAGGGATTTTGACCCCAACAAAAATATTGTCTATAGAATGTCCCTGCTCAACTTGGAGGGTTTAGTTGGGATGTAAGACAAACGCACAACAAGTCACCTATAAAATGGAATTAGGAACACTCAAGTATGCTGAAGTTAAGGCCCCTTTGGCCTGCAAATTAATTATGGTGCAACCAGGGTCGTGCGAAAATAGGTTGCCCGTTTAAAATAAAGGCGCTAAGAAAAATATGAAATTTCAAAATAAGGATATACTCAAAAAGTCGACTTTTTTGGGACCTCCAATTTTGATTCTGACATAAGGTTGTCATCTAGAAACAAATGAAACTAAAAAAAAGTGGTGGGTCGTTTACCATGATTATATAATATTATATATATTACTAAGAGTGTGCTACAATATTGTTCCACATACAGTATTGTTTGTTCATCATATTATTCTTTTACATCTGATGATCTTCTAAAATATTGTAATATGTCCTGTCCCAACATATCTTGTTGCATGTCAGGACAACCCAACACTCTAACATTCTAAAAATATATTAGCATATCCCGTCCCTATCTACCTCTACATATTCCACACATCTTTGGTATTGGTGAACTTATCTCAATCTATCTGCATTATCCGACCCGGTAGCACCCGTCTGCAGAGGCAAAGCCTCACCACATTGCCACCCATAAAATGCCCTGCAAAACTTGTACAGTCCGCGAGCGATGACTTCACACCCAAACTGACACCTATAAAATGCCCTGCGAAGCTTGTACAGCTCGTTTTTTTTTTTTAAAAAAAGTTTTTTTGGTTTCTGGTTTGTTGTTAGTTTTTTGAAGGGGTGGCAAAACAACACAGAAGTGAAGGACCTAGACCTAACTCTTTGCCAGTTCTCCCACCTTAGGGGTTGCAAACTTGCTTTTGCTTGATTTTATTGTTTGCTTTGGGCCTGTGGTTCCATTAGAAAACTATGTAAAAAACCATGGCAAAAAGCAGGTATCACTGGAGGAAGCTTGGGGGGTTTGGGACGCAGATTAGGCAATTGTGTCTGTTTACGTAATTTTTCAAAACCTGTGTTGAACAAATGCAAAAATATAGGCAGCCAATGAATGCGTAGAACTGATTTTGATATTGACATTGTTGACTCAAACCCTTGGGTTAACACATGTTTAAACATGAAAAGGAGTGATGCATCTCTTTGAAGTGGGTGCTACCTTCAACAAGTGCATTGCTACATTTCTTTTAAATGGTAGAGCATCCCATTGAAGTAGGTCATGTCTTAGTCTACTTCTATGTCAAAAATGAACCCTCTTGCACATGCAGTGCCCTTTTCATAATATATTTTCTTGAGTGAAGAACACATGGTACATGTAAGCACGTTAAAATATGTCCTTCACAATTGCACATCATTTTTCTGCTGAATGCATAATGTGATATTCTTCCAAGACAACGAACCATATTTTGGGAATAACACCCTTTGGTGTAGGCAGCTCCCCTCATGAAAAATATTGTAATTTGAAGAATGTGCATCTTTAAGTCTTAAGACAATCAAACATTGTTTGAACATATGGTATACTGTATGCATGTAGCACTCTTTTGAAAGAGTATGGTCGTCCTTGAAGAATCTGTTGTTGAATTTGTGCAATACCCCCTTGATATGAGTGAGATATTTGATTAAACAAAAAGATTATTGTTGGATTGTATTGAAAACATTTCTTTAAGTGAGAGTTGTCTAAATGAAGGCTGGGCTGACCTGACCAAGGGGAAGAGTACACATGTCAAACAAAAGCAATCCAGTTTTCCAAGAATGCTGCTTCTTCACAGGATTCTTTTTTTGCAATACAGGACAATATTCTGTTGTTCTGTGGTCAGAAGCGAAAGAGCATTCTTTAATACTGCTCACAGTTTCAAACATATTAATATCGCACTTTTGAAAGCGATGCTCTATGTCAATAATACTGCATATATTATGCAGAAATGTTGACTTTTCTAAAAGGGGTACTGCTCCTTTGAAAGGAGGGTTAGATATCTGGAAATGCGTGCAACTTTTTAAGGAATACTTCATATTTTGTTTGGATATTGTTCCTGCAAACACACGCACACTGCATTGCCCCAAAGGAAGATTACTCTTATTCAGAAGGGCATGGTTGTTTTGAAAACTACATTTGTTGGCAGGTATGGGGATGTTGTAATTAGGTTGAAGTCAGCTAGCATATTCTGCAGAAATTGTGTTTGTTGAAGGGACACTGTAGTAGCATTTATCTAAGGTAGAGTGAACACCTGACACTTCTTCAAGCAATACATGTTCTCTACTGGACATGAACACAGCTTTATCTATAGCTTAAGCTTTAATGTGATTACAATTTTGAACAAAAATATAAACAAGTGCACTCCCACAGCGTCCTGCTCTCATTCTTTATTACAGTATATTCTTTGCTAATATTATTGGTTCATATGGATTCATATTGATCACATTGTATATATGTCATTTTGAGATATGTTGAGATAATCATTTTCAAACTGAGTCTTTCCACCAGAATACGTAACATGTGTTGAACAATCCTATCTTCTCTTTGATTCGGCCCTCCAAGTGATTCAAATGCTTGGCTGCCACCAACCGTTCCGTATGATCGTTCTGTACTGGGTGAGCAACAATTTTACCTCGAAGACCGTTGTCTCCTGGAAACAAAGCAGAGATTCTCCATGCAGGCGGCTACGCTGCATCCAAAAATGATAAACATGCACGTGGTCTTGCTCATGTCCAGCATTGTTCGGCCATGATGGACTTATCCTAGGGCGCCAGGAGCACTTAAACGGATCCTCAAGATATAAATGGATTAGATGTCAAATAGATGGGAAACAGACTGTTGCCAGAGCGCAAAAAGCTGAGACTTTTCTGAGGTCGGAAGTCTCTTCGGAGCCATCGGAAGATGTCTCTTCCGACTCACTGGCATAAGCACCGAGGAGCCTAGGTCTTCAAATTTGAATGTGCAAATTTGATCAAATTTGTAATTGACCAGGCAACCTTTGGTCGAGGGACATGCCTTACGAAACACGAGAGCCTCCATGCATGTTCAAACTAGTTCTCAAAGTGGAGTTTGATGAACGTAGTACACACCAAGCCATGCCCAACACATGGCCAATACTAATTCAGGATGTCCATGGATGTCCCGTGTCTTACAGCATTATTTTTGCCAAGAAGCGGATTGTCTAGTTTCCTCTTCTTGCGATGGTTCACCGCAAGTCCCCGGAGTAGCCTGCACTGAAACAACTACTGTACAGTGAAAGAGCAAGCTATCTCTCTCAACTTGCATCTTGTGTGAAGATCTAGTCGAGATCCAACTCTTCAATACATACCAGTAGTTTTCTTTTCAACTTGCTTTAGAAGTGTAGAAAGGATGTAGAAACGATTTGAAGCCCAGTTCATCCCAGTTCAAGGTGCCAGTTGTGCTGTTTGACTTCACCTTGCCTGGACACCTCCTTCGCCTGCTCAGCAAACGGCCAGCAGCCAAGCGAAGCCACAGCGGCATCGCTAAGACGCCAAAGCTGCGGGTCGTTGTGGAGGTTCTTCGCAACCTGGTCACCAATTTGTTGACCCCAAAAATTGAAATGATAATTTAGCACATGGCTGCTATATTATGTGCTATTATCAGTATCAGTGACAGGATATTTACAAAACATGACAAAACGCCTCTATTAGACTTTATGCAGGACTATATTTTGATGCATCTGCTTCTCTAGCACGCAACCAGAAACTGAGCAGATCGTGAAACTGAAAACGGCAAGGCAAAGCTGGCGAAGTTGTCAAGGAAACTGTTGCATTCTTGGCACTGCAATCGGTGAGTGCGTTTCTCTCTCTCTCTCTCTTGCTTGCTCTGGGTGGACTAACCAGAACCACAAATGTCAAGTGTCAAGAACCCACCGAGGCGGGCAGCTAGACAAAATCCATCATATTCATTCATATTCCACATAATCCATATAGTATCTTAGTATCATATAAGCCATCTTCAAAAATTGAGACAAGGCGCATGCTTTTCAATGAAAGCGTCACGACCGTCTGCTCCAAAGAACTCCTCCCTCGAAGATCTCCACACACCTGACGTGAGCAGGCTGATACTATGCGTAGATGACATAAGTATCAAACACACCAACAATCAATTAGTCTCAATTAGTCAAGAGAGTCAAGACAGGATCATGTCTTCAAAGCATCTTCGCATATCTTCGCCTTCCACCTCAACCAGTGGAGAAACTTTCTGCTCCATGGCGGAGTCAGGCTGGACCTCAGGCGTGGTCGTGTCTCCAAAAGTTCCCCCCCGAAAGGTATTGCCAAGAACCTATCGGCTCCCTCCAGGATTCAAATGTTGTTTGTTTTAGTGCCCGTCATCCTTACGCAATACAGGGTCACTGAAAGATGACGTTGGAAGCCTAAGCCAATAAGAGTATGTTCAGATATGTTCAGTGTGAATGTCTGACAATGGTGAAAGCGCTCCTTAACCAAGGGACAGCTGAAGCAAAACAAGCATCTACAGACAAACGATGCTCCCTGAAAATGGCGGAGTCTGGAATGGCGGCCAAAGGAGTCATGCCTAGGCTGTCTAAGTGGGGCAGGGTGTCAGACATTTGGTTTTGAAATCATTCCAATTTGTCTTCTGACACCCTTGGAAACAAACTTTAAGCAAGACTGACTGGCTAGCTCGTTTGAGCATCAGGAACGCACACTTTGCAATGCTAATGCAATGCATATGCAATGCTATTTCGTACATGGGGGTAAATGCGACGAGGTGCACTCCCCATTGACGAGATCATCAACCTTTGCAGGATTTAGGGCTCAACGAATTCGCGACAAACTCGAAGAAGCGCAACTTATCAACTCCAAAACAGTTCAAAGGTTGCATCAAAATTAAAAGTATCCAGGAACATTATGCGTATTGTGCAAACATTGCACACCCACGATGGCAGTTTACTGGACAGAAAGGCCAACAAGCAGCTTGGACGTTGAAATCGCCGGCGGCAATCAAACTTCTGCCTGCAACGCTAGGTTTCGCAGAGAGCTGCAAGAACTTGGCAGCCTCTTTTATGCTGTCACCTGGGGTAGCTGAGGACATGCTTTTCCAGGGTGATGTGTACGTTTGGCCAATTACACTGGGTAGAGCATCTAATAATACATAATGGATCAATGATCAATAGTATATTTATGTATATATATGTTATCGGCACAAGTATCTCCACATATATGATATTGTTGAGGATGAAAATGAATATGAGCATAGAGATGAAAAAGAAGAGGAGGATGAATATGATAAGGATGAACATGAAAAATAAAAAAAGAAATGATGATGATCATGATGATGATGAGATGAGATGATATGATATGATACGATAGGATTCCAAACTGACTGCTTTGAGGGTGACCCCCTTCGAAGGGAAAATCAACTCTTATCCAATCTTATCCACTCATATCCCCTCTTATCAACTCTTATCCACTCTTATCCCACTCCTATCCCACTCTTATCAACTCTTATCATATCTTGTCGCACTCTTATCCAACTATGATTCACTCTTGATCTTAAGAGTGATGTTGTTCACTCTTCTTCACTCTTATCCAATCTTAACAAAAATGGTTTTCAGGATCAATGGGATTTACAGTATCTTGATTTGAACTGGTGTATCAATGGGAGAGATGGTGGCCCAAAATGAATCTCAGCGAGAAAGATTGGGGTGCTCGGGTCGACTTCAAAGTGGCACTGGGGGCACCAGTCAAACTCTAGCCAGCTGTAAGTTTGCATGTCCAAGCGCAGTGGGAATTCTGTTGACATTTGGCAGCGTTCTAGGGAGGAGAACACAGTTGGGAATATTCCAAACATCGGCAACAAATGAAATCCTTGTTTGATCTTAGTCTGTTTGTGTAAAAGCACCTCACATAAAACACACATGTATAATAGTAATGTACGACAGCGTTGCGGCTCAGGACAAAAAGTGCTTGGGTTGTCTAGCTTAACGGTTGTTTCCCCATTGTTTAGGTTTATCAGTCCATTTGGGTGTAATAGGAATTACCCCAGCTGAAACCTGAAAATACAGGTTATCAGCCGTAGTCTCTAAAGCCATGGACAAGTCGAATGATGCAATTGGTGGTGGTGCCCTTGTCCCCTCGACTGGAACTATATCTGCATCAACTGGTTCTCAGCAAAGCTTGCCGGCTGGGACAAACCCCACGCCCATGTCGGTTGATGAGGGTTTCTTCACACAGCCCGTGCAAGCCTATTTCCAGTTCGTGCAAAACAATCTTACCTACATTAACGAAGGTAACATTGATGCTTTCAGGCAAGAGGCAGAGGAGAGGCACACACATCTCATGGAACAAAAGGTCCAGCAACTGTACCAAGAGTTTGAGGGAATTTGCCTTAGCGAAATCGCCCATCAACGTGCAGAAGCTGATCGCAGACATGAACACCTAGTGTCAGAGTATTCAATGTCCCAAACGGCAACTGAGCATGAGGTAGCAAAACTGAGACAGGAACTTAGCGATGCAAATGCAAAGCTGAAGAACGCTGCAAATGCAGTTGCACTGGAAGCTGAGCAAAGAGCCAACCAAAAGGTAGCCCATGTTACAGCCCAGTATGAACAAAGGTTTTCTGAACTCAGAGGTAGCCTCGAGGCAGACTGTAAACGAATCGTGGACGAAACAGTAGAGTATGCAAAGAATGGCATGGAAGGTTTCAAGAAGGAGGAACAAGCTGTAATCCAGGAGATTAGAGAAGAATGCAGCAGGCAGGAAAACCAAGCTGCTGAACTCAACTTTCAATTGCAGGGACAAGTGGAGGATTTGATGGAGAAGCTCAACAAGTACAGCGCCCCGGAAATTAATGTCGACAGAGCCGTCGAAGTTGATGATACACAAGGCGGGAACAATGTCGATTTGTACTTGACCCCAAAATCAGCGGTCGGTACCAAGGCTGGAGCAGAACCCATGCCAAACACTGGTATGAGCAGCTTAGCCATGGACGCCAAAGAAAGGTTGAGCAACTTATGCTCAACAACCCCTGCCGGATCAGCAGCACCTCCAAAACTCCCACCGTTGCCAGTTCAAAGACAAAACGATGATGATGCAAATCAAGAACATAGTGTGCCCAGTCCTACAGCAATAGCAAGCGACACCGGCAAGAAAGCTGCTGATGCAGGCTTAGGTCTTTCAGGTCAACAATTGCTAGATCTCATCACTAGACTGACTTCAAAGGATTCAGATGGTGAAAAGCCCCGAACAAAAGAGGCAGAGACTATCAAACTGAACGACATGCCTGCCCCAGAAGCGTATCGTCACTGGCGTAATCATGTCAGGGATGAAGTCAAGTCGTGCTCCGACAAACCCGATGAGGCTTGGCTTTGGCTCAATGAAGTCTTTGACAACAAAACTCCTAGGGAAAAGTTGGAGGAAAAGCTGCAGGAACCTGGGAAGTTCATCACACTCGACACCAAATTGTCGGCAGCGTTAACTCGCTCGGCCAAAGGTGATTTAGCAACGAAGATCCATAACTTCAAAGATGAGAAGTCAAAGAAAGGGATCCAAGTTAGAGGTAGGAGAGTCCTTTTGATGTTTGAAGATTACTTCAGGACGTCTGAGGAAGCTGGCAGTCTCTACCGCGTCGAGGACCTACTTGGAGTCGTTCGCACTGGAGAATCTGTGGAGGACCTTAGAAGGTTTTCTGAACCGATGGGACGCCACAATTGCCGGCATGGAAACCCCGCCAGAGGACTTGGTTCTCAGAGACATCTTACTCAGACAAATCCGAAAATGTCAATTGATGAAGTATGACATTGAAGCGTTTGACAGAGCTCCTGAAAAGTCGGAACAGAAGTCTTATGCATTCTTGTTGAGAAACATTCGTGATCTTTTGGATAGAGAAAGACTCCGTTCAAACAGAAACAGAATCGTTGAAAAGAACAAACAGACCGAAAAGCCTCAGCCCGCTGCACCCGCTCAGGGGGGCAAAGATCGCGGCAAAGGAAAGGGTGATCGAGGTCGATCCCGTGGTCGTAGCCAGAGTGGAAAAGGGGATAAGATATGTTACAAGTTCAGGGATGGCAAGTGCGAAAAGGGTAAAGACTGTCCCTACAAGCATGTCAAGGATTCCTCAAGATCTGGCACTCCCAAAAAGAAGGGTAAGGGCAAAGGCGGTAGCAGAAGTGGTTCCCCCAACAGAAAGTCAAGGGAAGAGATGGCCAAGATCCCATGCACTTACTTCCAACAGGGCAAATGTCGTCGTGGTGACAAGTGTTTTTATAAACATGAAGTTGCAGCTGCACCCACAAAGGAACCAAAACGCACCAATAGCCCTGCACCAAAGAAGAAGGCCAGTGCAAAAGCTGCGCCATGCATTACTCAAAGGTATGCATGCATAGCAAAGGGAAAAGGGTTGCCAAAGGCTACAAAGGCCATGAAAGAACAATGCCACAGAGCTGAGTTTTCATCAAAAGTGGAATACATCAAAGTCCCAGCAACAGGTGAACAGAGAAAGGTAGTGCACAGACCCCGAATCTATGAGAAGACGTTCCCTGATTCAGAGTCAGTGCCAAAGCCCGACAAACTCATCGCTCACCGTGCTCAGGTTTCGGCCCGACAGTTGCAGGAACTTGTGAAGCTCTTCGGCAGCGAGACGCAGCCCAAATGCCGATTCCGATGCAATGACCCAGAAGGGGGAGTATCATGCAACCACTGTAGAGCAATGATCGGTCCCAAGAATAAAGTCAGTAACACTCATTTGCCCACTGTTGCTACACCGGCATCAAAAGATGGATGTGTTTGGTTGGTCGACACGGGCAGTGAACAGGATTTGATCAGTGAGGGTATGCTGAAGACCACAAAGGCGACAAACCGCCGTGTCAGCGATACTCCGATCAGCCTTGCTACAGCAAACGGTTCGACACGAGCGGACGAGGTGGCCGACGTAAAGGTCGATGCCCTACATCAGCCGTTTTCACCATACATTCTTGAGGAAACTCCTGCTGTTCTTTCGGTTGGGGTCAGATGTATGGAACAGGGTTACAGTTTTGTGTGGCCAGCTGATGGTAGGCCTTACTTCATTCGTCCGGATATGGGAGTCATCGAGCTCAATGTGGACGGCCGTGTGCCGGTTATTGATAGCTCTTGTCGTGTTTTGAACAGTGGACAGTTCAAGAAAGATTGTGATTTGTTACGTCTTTTTGCAATGGTTGCTGCAAAAGCAGAAGGTGCCGATGAAGAAGGCGTGGATGAGGGAATAGCTCATGATAGCGAAACCGAGAACATCAGGTCTAGAAAGGCATCTGACCTTGAGCAAGAGGCATGCAGCAAATCTCACCAGTTTTGCCATTACCCCAAGAATCCATTTTGCAAGATCTGTCAGAAGGCGCGCATGATGGCGCCACCCGCAAAGAAGAAAGGGGGACAGAAAAGATTGGAAACCAAAAGTTTTGGGGATCACATTGTCGCTGACCATACTGTAATCAAATCCAATGTGGAAGAAGGCGTCAAAGGTGAAACAGTGGCATTGGTGATGAAGGACATTCACACTCAGTTCAGGCACGTCAATCCAAGTCAGACCAAATCGAGTGAGTCATGTGTCAATGCTTTCAACCATTTCTTATCTCACAAGGATGAAGTTGGGGCAGTTTACACTGACAATTCACGAGAACTTATTGCTACAATTTCAGAGTTGGGGTACAGACATCAAACGTCAACAGAGTATGTGGACAGTTCAAAGTCGTTTGTGGAGAGAGAGATCAGGCACATGCTTGAAGGCACACGCACAAACCTCGTGCAGTCAGGTCTTCCATTGCAGTACTGGCCAATGGCTATGCAGCATTTCTCCATGGCAGTGAATACCACGCCACAGCTCAACGGTGATGACGCCCCATGGAAACTCAGATTCGAAGAAGATTTTCCAGGTCAGTTGATTCCTTTCGGTGCAAAGATACTGTTTTGGAACAATCCAAAAAGGGTTGACAACACATCTGGAAAGACATCACCAACTGCAAATGATGGAATCTTTTTGGGATACCATATTCAACCTGGTTTTGCATGGAAGGGTGAGTATCTTGTTGCCAAGTTAG